GTAGGTGACGTTTGGGGTCAATTCGCGGCTTTAGGATTTTCGTACGGCATGCCCTTTTGCGGCTGCGATATGGTAACGCCCGTCTGGCGTATCATCCTTGGTCGGAATGCACTACAGCCTTTGTGTACAAGATGCAGAGGAGTGGGCTTGCATTCAAACATACATACAGTTGCCACGGTGCACCCACCCATCTCCTGCTGTCCAGTACATTGATGAGGGTGGAATTATTGTAGCGTCTTATGCGCCAACTTGCGGCGTATTGGTGGCCATACGCGGTATCGCCAAAGAGTGACAAATGGGCCTTATTGCAACGCACCCACTATTATATTACTGTACATTTTCCAGTGGCAGGCGGATATTTGAAGGGCAGAAAAGATCAGCAGGTTAAAGCCTATCCACAGGTGGGTTTTTGGGCAAGTCATGGTAGCAGAGGGAACTGCTGCCTGACATGGCCCACACCCAGGTCAGGCCCTGTGAAAGTCAGGAAATACCACTGCGCCATGCAAAATAGGGGCACTCTCATTGGGGGCTAGTTTATTGAGTGTTATAGGTCTCTTTCCAGAGGACAAAAACGCTAGCAAAGCTGTGTTGCTCCATTGGATCGCATCGTGGAATTTAGCAGGTGTGTCGGCGGTGCTCTATGTATGCATATACTGAAGTTATAGATATTTTCTTCAATGTGAAATTTGAGCCACTTGAAATTGACTTGAAAAAGGACAATAAAGAATATGGACTTGTACAGGGGCCTTGTAATGTATTGTATCGTATACCCCTACGAGTCTTTAGAGCCGGATTGACTTGATCACCTCCCTGCACAGGACAGTACAATACTGTATACGTACAGTCCAGCTTTTAGAGGCATTGAAGGCTGGGCCATTTGAGTACGGTAGCTACGTCGGTATCAATAAGATGGGCAAGTTTGACGATTTTACGATTATTTAGGTAGCGTTCTTAATTTGGTACTGCACAGTATGATAAATACAGTATGCTCTTAAAATGAGAAGCCATTTGCCTACAAGGTGCCGGAGTCTCCCGCATTCTCGAGAATCCAGTTTCTTTTGATCGTGGACTCTTTTATTTACAAGTTTTCTCTTAATACAGTAAGCCATTTCTAGCTTGTCTGAGTATAGAGTCTGAGTATAGAAGAATAATAGGACAGGATACAGAGTCGATTATGGCCATACTCTACGGTCCTAGGATTTCTGCATATGCCACCGTATAAGCAAGTCTCTTGAGCATAAAAGCGTGTGACAACCCCTCAATTTTTACCAAATTCAGCATTCATCGCCAAAACATGTTTTTCGTAGCGATTCTCGGTTTGGCGGCAACTGCAAGCGCGTGTGTCCCTGACCAACAGGCCTTCTGGTCAGTCAAATCCGGAGACGTAGCCGCAAAGGCAGCTCACTACTTGGGCGTCGAAACAAACGTGCTGCAAAAATTTAATCCCAAGAAAAATATTAATTTGATTTACCCTTCCGACGTCCTCAATGTTCCGTACACTGCCACCTTAAGACCGTCAGCGACCTGGAGTTACTTCACGGAGACATCTGGCACTTCTACAGTTTGCCGGGCATGGCTAGGGCTGCCAACGCCGACGACCACATTGTCTCAAAGCCACTCTAGGCTCACGACTTCACAAACCCCCAAGGAATCACATTCATCTACGAGTCCTAGGGACGTGTCAACGAAAAACCAGAAAACTTCTACTGCATCTAATGCTAGCGGTCTTTCGAAGACTTCTGTAAATTCAGGGGCGAAAGCAGCTTCGACATCTCCTGAGGAAAGTTCAACTACTTCGTCTTCTATAATGGCGGGGGTCGTGACATCTGATTGCAAGAATTGAATCCAGACTTAAAAATGTTTTTAGCGACCGGCTTGATCTTTGGAAGAGGCCGATGAGTGGGCATCGGAAGAGGCTAAAGAGCTCATAGTGAGTGTATGGATTTGGTCAGATACCGTATATATCGAAGATTAGGATAGTAAATGCCGGTGATTGAAATCTTGGCTTTGAACCGATTGTCGCCATGCGGTACGGCCTGATCATACGATGATTGCAGAAACTCGTCTACTAGAGTATTGCCAGACATATCGCTCGGTCCTCTTACATAATATCCATGCTGTTGGTAGGCTTCTCTGCATGCAAAGATGGGGTGAACCGGTGTTGTTGTATTCGTCTTGTCTAGCTATCTAAGGAGGGAGAGGCCACCTTGGCTAAGGGGGCCTCAGGGGCTTCAGCAGTACGCGTGATCAAATGATCACGTGCATACCTGAGCTGATCCCTGATAGATACATTGGGTAGTCAGAATTCCCACACATGCGGTATTTAGCAGAAAAATCAAGTACAGACAGAAATATGCCCGCCGTCTCTACTTATGTTCTATTTATTTCTCCCTGATGTAATTCTAAATTGTTGTATATTAGCACTGGTTTGTCCGGCTATCCCTCTGCGGGCGACTAGGCTACACGGCGGTCGGGTTCCAGCCCACGGCGCCGGCCACGATACCTATGGGTCAGCGGCCATTTTAGCGTGCTTACTGTTGGTCTCGCAAGAAATGAAAGTAGAGGGTAAGAGTCAAAACATGTTCATTGTCGTCTGTCCAAATGAATGTGAGAAGTCCTGTCTTCTTATAGTTACATTGCTGCCTTGCGGTGGCGATATCGCCACCTAGGCTGCTTAGATGACGTTCTCGCGAAGGAGAGAGCAAAAGTGGGCATAAAAGTGGATAAAGGGACTTTTCGAAGGTCGAGTATCATACGATCAGATGGTATGTGAAATGCATTCTATCAGGAAGAGGGCACTTCTTGCCACTTACTGAAGGCCACGTAAGTCATCTACGTCAGCAACATCAGCTCCATCTCCCCGATCGAATAGCTCTTCTAGCTATGAAATCGATAGTTCAGTCTCGAGGTCCCCGAGCCAGTAATAGTTATGCCGGACTCCTCAAAGGGTCCCCGTTCGAATAGGAGATCCTCCGGACCCCTCAGTGGTCTAGGAAGAAGAAACAACAGTCTGCAGACTTCCCTTCTTACCTGGTTTCAAGCTGTATTACCTAGAGAGACCTAGAGACCTCAACTCGTTCGGACCTTCTTCTCGACACACCCTTAGCTATGAGCCGTCCCAACGGGTCAAAGCTACAGCCAAAGGTTATAGGTCCTCAACGAGGTTACCGTGTAGTCGTGGCCGGGAGACCTCCCTAATATTCCTATGCGGTCAAGGGCCTCTCTCCTAACCGTCTTACTAGAATCCGGTCTCGTAGGTCTTCCATCCGGGTCAAGCTGAAGCCGGGTTTTTAAGTCAACTATTCCAATCATCTCTTGGAATTTCTGTAGTTTCTGACGAGGAGTGCCTTGGTTAGGCCGTCTGCTTTCATCTGTGCCGTAGGAACCCAACGGACTTGAATTCTTCCTTCTTGAGTCTCTTGGCGTAACCAATGCCGGTGGATATCAACATGCCGTAGTCTCGTTGATAGCTTCGCGTTAGTCTCTGCAAGCAGTCGTATCGTTTGACTATTATCACATTCTAGCTGTAGCGGGTCCGGAATCTGAAGGTATAAGGACCGTAGCATCCGGCTAAGGAATATAGCTTCTTTTGCTTCTGAAATAGCTAGCAATTCAGCCTCGGTGCTAGAAGTAGTGACTGTTGCTTGTTTCGAAGCTCTCCACGCAATAGATCCGCCAAACAGGGTCATGATATACCCCTGAGAGCTCTTTCTGTCGAGGGAATTATCGGCAAAGGATGAATCACTAGAGCAAAGGAATATATCGGCTCTCTTATCGATTGATCCTCCTAGGCGAATTCCAAAGGAACGGGTATTATAGAGGTAAAGAATAACCCGGTCTGCTGCCTTCTGGTGTGTTTCGTCGGGGTTCTGGTTGTGTCTAGCTAGCCGAGAGACCGCAAAGGCGATATCTGGTCTCGTTGAAATAGCAGCAAAGAGGATAGATCCTACCTTCTGTAGGTACCTATGAATTTCCTGTTCGCTTGCTTGGCTAATAGAAGGAGTAGCTCTTCTGTTGTCATTGGTGTGTCTGGAAGCTTTGAGGAAAGTCGGTCCGGTCCTAATAGCTTGTGGGCTATTTTCTCGATATAGGCATCTTGCGTTAGCCAAATCGTCTTCTTAGTCCGGTCCCGAAGGATGTGTATGCCTAGGAACCAGCGGGGCTCCCAAGCAATGTCATTTTATATCGTTCTTGCAGTCCTCGCATAGCCTCCATAGCTATTCCTTGATCTTCTTTCTTATAGGCCCAGACAATATCGTCAACGTAGAAGAAGACAATGACTGCCCCTTCTTCATCACACAAGGTTCTTGTGGGACCTTTTCGAATCCTAATTCCTCTAGGGATCGGGTAAGGTGCTGTTGCCAAAGCAAAGGGGATCGTCGTAGACCGTATAGGGCTTTCCGGAGCAAAAGAATTCTGCCTGGTTTGCTAAATCCGGGAGGCATCCTCATAAAGACTACCTCTTCCTCGAGTGGACAGTTAACGAAGGCGTTTACTGCATCCATTTGATCAAGTTCGAGGTCGAAATCTGCTGCAATAGCCATGAGTGCCCGGAAAGACATCCCTGCTAGGGTCGTTGCTCGAGTCGGTAGATCCCCCCTTTCCTGCTGGTTGCCGCAGACCACAAGTCGAGCTTTGCACTTCTGAAGGTACCCATGCTTGTCAGTCTTATAGATAAAGACCCATTTGCAGTATAGAACTTGTTTGCCAGCAGCCCTTTCCACGGAACTTCGATAAAGGACCCCATCTCTTCGTGCGAGGCTAGATGGTCCTTTTGGGCTTTAACGAATTCCTCTTTAAAAGGGTGCTTTTCTAGCTGCTTGGTGTTTTCTGGTGGGTCTGGTAGGTCCTTCTTGTGTACCTTGGTCCTTGGTTTTGGCTTGAATAGTCGTCCAGCAGTAAAGGCTCCGTGTACCCCGTCCTTTATAGGAGTAGGATAAAAGTCATTAAATCGGTCTAAGATAGGCAGTGGATCGATCTCCGGTTCTACCCCTGTCTGATCAAGTGGTTCCTGGGTAGAAGTCGTAGAATGAGATCTGTTTGACTCGTTGGCTGATAAAAAGGAAGCTTTCCAGGGATCACCAAACCGCCCCACCCCCTCAGGAGTAGCAACCGGAAGAGAGACCAAGAAGCCTGCCTCAAGATCTTCTTCTGTCAGTGGAGGTGTTATAAGAGAAGCTTCTTCAAGCTCCCTAGCCCTCTTATATTCTTCTTCTTCTTCGGTAGGGTCGGTCTGTCCCTCTTCTTCTTCCTCGTCCGAGTCTTCGTCGAACACGCTCTCAAGCTCCGATTCTTCGTCAAGGATTTCCTGGTTGATTTTCTGGTCCTCTGGTATCTCAACGCGTTGAATAAGGTCATTGATGCTAGGAAGCAGCTGCGGCTGCTCGAATTTCCCATCAAAATAGGTAAATTCGTCAAAATAACATCCCTTGTCGAAATAACCTTTCTTCGTTGCGGAATCCAGATCCGGAAGATATTCGTCGAATTATATCCAACCAGGTATCCTATATGTGACCGTGGATCAAGCTTCTGCCTCTTCTTCTTGCCTAGCTGTGCGTCAGAAGTCATAGCGTAGGCCCTACAGCCGTAGGCCTTGAGCTGGGCATGCTGTTGAGGTTGATCCTTCTTCGTAAAGAGCTCAAGGGTGTTTTCCAGTCTTCCGACGAATTCGAAATCGAGTTCGTGGTCCTAGGGGCTCGAGGGGTCCGATTCCGTAGATAACAAGATGCTTCCACGGTTTCTTTCCATAGGTCGTGAGGAAGGCCTGCTGCGATCCTCATCTTGCGAGCCCTTTCAATAACAATTCCACCGGACCGTTCTGCCCCTCCGTTCTGGGCTTGTGTATTCGAGGCTGATTTTTCTGCTGAAATTCCCTTCTTTCGTAGCCACTTCTTAATCTTATTAGTGAATAGCTCTCCGTCAGACCGTACAATTTTCACCGTGTAGTCAAAACGAAGCTTCATCCAGCTAACGAAATCTCGAAGTGCGGCTAGGTGGTGCTTTGAATGATAGGTCTTAAGGAAGTAGGGGAAAACCATGCCCGAATATGCGTCTGTGATGAACATCACACGGACATAGCCCTCGAAATCAGGGGTAAGCTCGGTCCAGTCGATCCAAATCTCTTGGCAGGGCTCTTGACGTTCGTCTCGAATAGGGTTCTTCGAGAAACCTGTCGTATTGCCCTCCCTTGAGCACAGTGCTGGCATTCGTAGGTTTTGGGCCTCGAATATGCACTCCTTTTCGTAATCCTAGCTTATAAAGAGCTAGGGTCCCGGTGACCTAGTCTGGCATGCCAAAGGCTAGCTTCTGCTGACGCTGTCGGTCTTGGGTCCCGGAGCCTCTTCTTCTCGGCTTAGAGGCTTGAAAAGCCGCTTCTTCGATATCCTCCTTCTGAATAGGCTGGAAATCGAGAACAAACTGGCGATATTTCCGAAATAAAATACAAATCGGTCTCTTGTCTCGGTAGACTAGCCTTGTGGGCTCTGTGAAGGTATCCCAGTAGATTCCTTCGTCTCGAAGAGCCTGGAAAGATACCAGGCTTGCTGAAAATCTCGGGCAATAAGCAACGGTTTTTAACCGTAAAGACCGTAATGACCCGTCTAGGGCCGTGACCGTAACGTTGACTCTGCCATAACCTTCGATCCGGACTTCTGAATCCCTGTGACTAGGTATTCGTTTCTTGCTTTTCTAAAAGACCGGAATTTCGATAGGTTATTGCAAATATGTAAAGAAGCTGCTGAGTCTAGCAGAGTCGACTTTCGAAGAGGGTAGTCGTTAGAGGCGGTCGTTTGGCTAGCCTTAAAGACAAAGGCAGGGTTTGCGTGCCCAACGATTCTTCCGACTATCCGATTCTTCGGTAGTTGCTATGCCTCCTTCTCATGACGGATTTTTTCCACCTTCTTTCTCAAATCTGGGTCATTTTCAAGGGCCTTTTGCACCCTTTCTTCTATTCGAGGATTCGAATCACACCACGAGGGGCGTTTATCTTCGAAGAGAGCCCAGCAGTCAGAAAGAACATGACTTATCCGTCCACACGCAGGGCATCGGTTTTTATCGGTTTTATCGGTTTTCTCAGTGTTTTTGGTTGTGTCAGGTTTCTTCCCTTTCTCTTCTTTTCGGTCTTTCTTCAGAAGGGTCGTTTTCATCAGTTTCTTTATCAGCTAGAAAGCCGGCACCTCTTGATTCCTCCTTTCTGCTGGTGCGGCTGTTGCTCTGCAATTTCTCTGATTTTTCTAGCAACAAGCTGAAAGGTCCAGTGAGTCGAAGAAGGTGGTACTGCTGCCAAAGTAGGCGTGCTTCCGATAGAGTCTGGTCGAAGAGCTTGATAGACCCTATATTGAGCAGTTGCTGCTTCTTCATCGATTCTTCGGCTGTCTTCGTAGAAGATAGTAGCGTATCCATCACTAAGAGGTCGGATGACGCTAGCTATATCTCGTAGCCACTGGCCTGTTAGTGCCTCAGATAGGAAGTAAAGGTCAGCTTCTTCTATAATCTCTTCCCACTTAGTCAGCCAGTCTAGTATGTTAGTCTTAGTACTAGTACGAAGGTGACTCGAATACTGCTTCCTAATTCGGTCAGTCATAAAGCCGCGTGAAGGAGCAGTCGATGCTTCTAGCTTCTGCAGCCACTGTCTAAGCGTATCCCCTTCTCGAAGGGAGGTTAGTTTAGCAGTGCTGATAGACTCCGTAATAGCTGTACGGGCTGCAGTGATTAGCTTAGTCTCGTAAAGGTATTCCTTACGCCTGCCCTCATATTCATGAAGTGCCGCCGAGTAAGCTCTTTGCTGTTCGCTGGTTAGATTGACAAACTGTCTAACGCCTTGTGCAAAGTCGTCAAAAGTCGGGCGCTCAGGTAGCTCCATAGCTTCAGAGCCATCTTGAAAGATAAGCTTGTGGATAAGCTTATCCACTCGTGCTCGGAGCTCCTTGACCCAACGGTCCCAGTCCTGGGGTTCAGTTAGAATTGTCCGCTTCGTCGGCGCCATAGCCGAGGTCTTCGACATCTTCAACTGCCGTAGGGGCCGAAAAGGTGGCGAAGATAAGCCGAGGTGGTGTGAAGCGTGCGGGGAAGAGGGGTTCTTTCTCAAGGTTGCAATTTTGCCACCGGAAGTTACAGAAACAGGTCTGTTTCTCCCGGGCTCATAACTCTCGCGAAGGAGAGAGCAAAAGTGGGCATAAAAGTGGATAAAGGGACTTTTCGAAGGTCGAGTATCATACGATCAGATGGTATGTGAAATGCATTCTATCAGGAAGAGGGCACTTCTTGCCACTTACTGAAGGCCACGTAAGTCATCTACGTCAGCAACATCAGCTCCATCTCCCCGATCGAATAGCTCTTCTAGCTATGAAATCGATAGTTCAGTCTCGAGGTCCCCGAGCCAGTAATAGTTATGCCGGACTCCTCAAAGGGTCCCCGTTCGAATAGGAGATCCTCCGGACCCCTCAGTGGTCTAGGAAGAAGAAACAACAGTCTGCAGACTTCCCTTCTTACCTGGTTTCAAGCTGTATTACCTAGAGAGACCTAGAGACCTCAACTCGTTCGGACCTTCTTCTCGACAGACGTTGTCATCTAGAAGGTTCGATGACATTGCTCAACAGCGACATTATCGCACGTTTTATCCAACATACGTATCCTGAATGCGACATACCTACTTGCAGCCTTCGCACCTCTTAAGCAGTGCTCCTGATAGTGTAAACAGTCAGTCTGGACGCCTCAGACTGCCCACTAGTCAGTCTGACTTGGCCAGACCAAACTGGCAGTCCGTCTGGCTGCGCCAGACTGAACTAGCAGTCTGCCTGAGGTGCGCAGACTGAACTGTTGGTCCGTCCGTCACACTCAAACTGGACTGCAGTGCAAACTGTGGTTTAGACTATCAGTCGAAATATAAAAGACGACTTTTGGCCCTTCCTCGCATCTGCCTCCACAGGGTTGAAATCCACTCCACTCAATCCACTGGCAGGCTGAGTGGAGTGGGTAGATTATAATCCACTGAATGCCTTAGTGTAGTGGATGGATGTATTGGATCCACTGGGAGTCATGGTGGATTGCGTGGATTGAGCGGATTGGCAAGTGCCTTCATTCCAAATGCATGAGACCTGAGTCTCTGAGAGCAGGAACCACTTCCTGCCTTTGCACGGCTTGCATGGCCTTATGCATCCCCTAAACGAGATCATCTCCAGCTGAATTCTGCCTCCTCCTGAGCGCTGGCCACCCGACTCAGCTGCGCAATTTGTCTGGCGAAGTTGTTAGTGAACGTTATCAAATAGGAAGATGAACGCGTTATAAGCTCACATCACAACAGGTGAATCTCCAGCGAGCTCCGTTCGGGCAGAGGAGGAAGCGGACACGTAGGAGGCGGACCCGGGCAGGGAGGGAGATGAGACGGTCGCGCAGCGCACATCCTGTGCTATATTCACCTGTTTTTACCGGCGCAGATATAGACTCTTGGGGACGGCAGACTTCGAAGTTTTGAGATACTCTTTGGTGAAAGATAGTCGTGCTTGCTTCAATAATGGAGTGCGGCAGCTAGCAGTTAAATAGTTGGGAACACGAAGCTACATAGACTTCTGTGCCAGGCAAAAACTATTCGTTCAAGAGCATGAAAGCACCGCATGTGCCGTAAGGTTAACAGTTAGCGACGAAGTACCTGTACAGTAACAATTTCCAGTCCTTGATATTGACATGTTGGTGTAAACGGATATTATCCTTGACAGTTTCGTGGAACCAAGCGCTTTCTATTACACGGTGGAAATCATTGCGTAAATCACACTACTAGCTACCGGTAGCTGCATCTGCTGGAATGCATTCATCTTCGCTGGTCCAATTAGCGACTGCGCCATGCATGTGTACAGAAGCGAGGGTTGGGTATGTTCTACATGGCAGTCAGAACTAACTCCGGCCTTCATCATTGGTAGCTCTGAGCAGATGTATCACAAGCTGGGTAGGCCAATTAAGATATTTGCGAAGGCTCCCTGATGCAGCTAGCCTCTAGCCTGTGTCTAGAGTGCCTCCGACACCACCAATTTAACACCCATTAACGGCCAACTCGGGCCCAAAAGCTAGATGGGGCGTTTGCGACAAGATATCCCCGGAGGTTTTGCGGCGCGCAGATCCCTATCTTACCCTGTCACCTTGCTGTCACCCCGCCATCATCACGGTCAAGCATTCCTCTGCAGCCTAGCGCGATCGACATTTGGATGTTAATCGACTTGCAAGTGGATTATGGCTGCCGCATGGAAGCACAGGGTCTGTGGGGCTAAATAACCTAACACTTGGCATTATATGGCTGTTCCCGATGTTCACGAATTTTTGATCCTTGTCAGCTACCACAGCACCCGCTTGCTGCAAGAGAATGTTCCCGACCATTTTATAATCGAGGTTTCCAATTAACTGTGCAACGTCACTTTAAGCGGATCGATACATACAAGACGTTTCATTGTTTTCGGTCAGTGATGGCTAGCGCGAAGACAGGCTGGACTATACGGAGTACAGAGGTAGCGATTACCCGAAAGACTTTAGACCAAATATGCAGCGGTTAGGCCGTTCGCGGTATCAGCTGGGGCTAATGATCCTTTATAATGCTCTTGTCTTTGGCCCTCGGATTCACGGATGGGGCCCTAGTCTCCCGTTGGTTGGATATGCCGGAGTCAACTCCGTGCAATTCCCGAATCCCGATCGTGCATGCAACTTATTTTAGTTTGCATAAACGGACTTCGTGTACGTGTCGCGCCCCATATTTATTTGGACCCCGCGAGCTCGCACCACCGTGTGTCCATCAAGCAGGCTTGTTTCATTGGACGAATCTCGACGGAGCCAACGCCGAACATGTGAGCCTGCGCTAAGAGGTGCACTCTGACATCACGATTACGGATAGAAGCCTCAAGGTATGGCAAGACACTAACCAGCAACAAACCTTGCTGAAGTGCGTCTCGAACGGGACGCTAGCAATGCAAGTTTCGGCTCCTAATCGTTTTCTCACAAACGGCTTCGAGACACCTTCCCTTCCCCTTCTTCTTGTCACATGTAACTGGAAAGATGCCATGCATGTGAGGGTTATAGAGAGTCGAATTGGTCTTAACCACTGCCCAAGTCAAGGGGACGAAGGTCCCAGTTATATACACAAGAACGGTGCCCATGTGGGTCGAGACACCTCCTCGACTGGGGCGGAATGTCGTTTGACACTTCTCATCTTTACTTTGGCACTATCCTGGCGACAACATGTTACCCGGCTTCTGGTTGCACAGCACCCATCCAACGAGTGCGCAACGCAACTACGGCACTGTATCACCCGGAATACAACCAACCAACACAAATCTGCCCATCGCTAGACCTTCTATACATTGTTTGAGCCACTATACTCATCTTGGCAGTGTCTATTACCGTCGATTTATTACGTATTATGGGTTCATAACTTCATTGCAGGCTCGGCATCACGCATCAACCATCACTTCGGGCTAGCCATTTCCACTGCAGAGCTTGTTCGAGTACGCAAGCCTTGACCAGTCACGAATTTCTTAAAGGAGCTTGTCAGTTCTGGCACAAGTCAAGGTGTGTGCAATGGCGTGATAAATCGGAAAAACAAAAGATTTGCAATTAGCATACCTCGGTATTTGACCACCACCATGCGCGTGGCGGAGGCGGAAAATCACCGCACGTCATCCATATCTTGATTCAGTGACGTCTTCCTCTTTGCCCGCTCTCGTAGGTATGGGTAGGCTGTCTATGGCCACTCCGCGAGCAGTCTCGAATAATGACGGGAGGGGGCATTGAAATCTCAGAGGCGCGCGAATGTCTTCTGCTGTGCCGGCGCGAGTCGTGTCGATAGCGCTTCGGTCCTATGTCGTGATAAAAAGACTCGCGTTCCTGGGGCGGAGCCCCGAGGTTCGAACATGAACGTATGATCCAGAACAAAAGCAAGAACCCGACAATGGAGCCAATCACGATTCCCGCAATGACCCCTCCGCTCATGCTGCTGCTCCCATCTTGATTTGTGCTTTGCGCAGTAACCGTGACCGTGGCTGGAGGTGCTTGCCGGGCGACTAGAGAGGGTTTAATAGGCGCCGGGGCCGAGACTCGGGTTGGTGGAGGCATCTTCAGTCGTTCCCGATGAGACTGGATTGGACGCCTCGATAACCTGAGTTCGTCTGAAGCTTGTCCAGCGACAGCAAAAGTCCAGATTGGAGGGAAAATGCACTCTTTCTTCTCAATTGCCTGCAGAGGGTGAGAGTGCAGGATATGTATTTGACGCATCTCTGCTCAGGGTCGGAGGATTACGTCAAGAAACTCCTTAGCTAATGCAGGTAACACACGGTTATCTTGATTGAGATTGCTCGTTGGTCAATTGCTGGGATTGGAGAGGATCATGCCTTTAATGGTGCCAGTCCATAAGAAGCTGCAGGACCCCGCCCCCCGCAGGGACATGTGACCAATCTCCATTTGCACTCGATGTTTCCGTTTCCATTCAAAACATCTCAATTGCCCTCGCAAGCTGCCCTAGCCAACCTCGTTCCCCAAGGCTTTTTGCGCAAGCCCCGACCAGCTTGCCTCTCCTGTACTAGTACGGTGTTGACGAGTGTTAGGCACCCCAGGGTGCCCATGTATTGATCGCCCAAGGCTGGTCATAGTTGACGTCACCATTACCGAGTGCAATTGTGCTGCAATGCAAAGGTGGTGCACCATTGGACGCTAAGGTTTAGAGCTAACTTGGCCATCATCGGCAGCGGCAGTTCTCACGAAGAAAGTCAGCAGAAAGGGCATATAATGTAGAAATGGTGTCGTTATTGTATATTCCGTGTCTCTGCCCCTTTCTTCCTGCCCTAAATCCAAGCCCCTATTTATATCTCTCTCTCGTAGTATAAGTATAAGGTTAAGGGAGGCTGGGAACCCCCAGCCTCCTCGACTAAAGATGCTCTAGTCTTTAATAGAAGCTTTCCAGCCTTCTCGTGAAACTTGGTTGTCAGCTCCCTTGTCGGCCTAGCTACCCATGGGTGACCTGGCTGACTC